GGAGTGTGCAGGAGGCAGCTGATCGATGTTTCTCTCGCATCGATGTTTCTAACTATCCCTCTCCCATCCTCTCTGTAAAAAATCAATAAAATATATTAAAAGTAATGTAAAAAGGAAGTAATGCTAAAAGGAAGGTAAAAATATTATTAAATTAAGTTCTCAAATTAAAATTTATGTAAAATAATAAAATAATATATAGAATTATGAAAAAAGAAAAATATAATTAAAAATTAATGATTTATAAAAATGTCAGGACAGGAGAAAAATATACAACTACTTTCTCCCAAAATGGTCTACCATAACAGGGAAGAAGGAGTATGGTAAAAGTCAAGAAGTGTTTAGAAAATTAGAAATGATGAAATCAATTTAATTTTATTTAAATTTCTTTTGCAAAAGTGAGATAGAGACTTTCTTTCAAAAACAAAAGAAATTCTGAATTTATACAGATTTTTGAAGAAAAAGAAACAAAAATTGATGAAAACTAAGATATGGATTGTATGAAATAGTATTTCTTATCTAACTGTGTATGTGGGTTCTACTTTTTCCACTAAAATTATCTCAAAAGAGATAGGATTTTGGTATTAATATAAGCTTAGGAATTCAGATTCCTAATGGCAGCTTAAAATAATTTTTTTTTGTTTACTTTTAAAGCTGAGATGAAACAATATATGAAACTAGAGGCCCTGTGCACAAAATTCATGCACTCGGGTGGGGGTCACTCAGCCTGGATTGCAAGAGGGTGCAGGTCAGGCCAAAGGGCTCCACTGGTACATGATCAGGGGCAGGGAGGGATGTGGGAGGTTGGCCAGCCAAGGAGGGACCACCGGAGGGCTCCAGGGTGTGTCTGGCCCATCTCGCTCAGTCCTGATTGGCCAGATCCCAGCAGTAAGCTAACCTACCAGTCGAAGCATCTGCCCCCTGGTGGTCAGTGCACATCATAGCAAGTGGTTGAGTGGCCTTAGCATAACTATAATAATATACCTATAATAATAAAAGGGTAATACGTAAATCGACTGAATAGCTGAATAGCGGAACGACCATCTGGACAACCTTCCAGATGACCTTCCGGACGAAGCTGGGGCTACAAGGGCTGAGGCAGCTGGGGCTGTGAGGGCCCGGTCCCTTGCACAAATTTCATGCATTGGGCCTCTAGTCATTAGCATATTACTCTTTGATTGGTTGAATGGCCGACCGGACAATCGGACACTTTGCATATTACGCTTTTATTATATAGGATGTGCAGCATATGACAGAGGAGAGTCATGTTAAATTCATCTCGGCTTGATTATTTGATAGGTAGGTATTCTATTTGTGTTAACAAATAATCTGTATTTTTAACTTGTCTTTTAAAAAAATACATTTTCCTTTTTTTACTTATTTATTTATTTTTGTTAATCACTGATCTTTTTCAGAGAGAGTAAAAGAGAGAGGGAAAGACAGAGAGAAACATCAATGTGAGAGAAACACATTGATTGGTTCCACAGGCTGACTCTCTATCCACTGAGCCAAACAGGCTAGGGCTCTTTAACTTATTTTGACACAAAAAGAAATGGTTTATAACCAGACCTGAATAATAGCAGCAAAACCTAAATATAAAAAAAATAAAATTTAAATTTTAGATAAAGATAGGATAATATTTTGAAGTAATAAAGGTGGGAAATATTTGTTAATATTTTATGGTTCTTAGTGTGAGTTCTTAGAATATTAAGTATTTTTATTTTAAAAAATATTTTGTTGAGGATTTTTTCATCAAAGTTTATGAGAAATAGTGGCCTGTAGTTTTCTTTTAATACCTTTGTTTAGTGTTGGTATTAGAGTAATCCTGGTCTCATAGAATTAGTCAGGAAGTATTCCCTCTGCTTCCATCCTTTGAAAGAAATTGTAGAGAATTTTTATAATTTCTCTCTAAAATGTTTGGTAGTATTCAATGTTGTGTCTTTCAAGAATTGGTATACTTTTAAAATGCTCTATGCATGAAAAGGCTTCATTAAATAACAAAACATCAAGTTGCACACTGGGAATAAATAATTATTAAATAGGTGAACAAAATTGGTTAATATCCAGTGTATATAGCAGGGGTCCTCAAACTTTTTAAACAGGGGGCCAGTTCACTGTCCCTCAGACCATTGGATGGCCGGACTATAGTTTAAAAAAAACTATGAACAAATTCCTATGCACACTGCACATGTCTTATTTTGAAGTAAAAAAACAAAACAGGAACAAATACAATATTTAAAATGAAGAACAAGTAAAGTTAAGTCAACAAAACTACCAGTATTTCAATGGGAATTATGGGCCTGCTTTTGGCTAATGAGATGGCCAATGTCCAGTTCCATATTTGTCACTGCTAGTCGTAACAAGTGATGCAAGTGTGCATCAGTTAGTCTAGATCTGGTTGGAGATTTCAGATGTTTCATTCTGGAAAAAGGCTCTCCTAACTTCAAAAAAATAGACCTCCTAACTTCAAAAAAAAAAATCCTAACTTGTTCTTACCTCGGTCCTCAGGCAACAGCAGGCTCTGCACAGGCAAGCTCGTGACTGTCCGATCACACCCGAGACTGAGAGGAGGAGTCGAGAGACAGAGAGGAGGAGGGGAGTCGGAGAGTGCGGGGCACATTCCACACATGTGCACTGCGGGCCCGGGACGAGTCGGCTGCTAAGCAACAGGCAGCTGCGGCAAAAACACCCAGCGGGCCGGATAAATGTTTTCAGCTGGCCGCATGTGGCCTGCGGGCCGTAGTTTGAGGACCCCTGGTATATAGTGAAGTGATGGTGAAATAATGATGCAATTTTTCTTTCTTAGTCTGTTAATATGATGAACTGCATGAACTGATTTGAAAGTTGAACCAGACTTGCATATCTGGGATAAATCCCAGTTGGTTGTGGTCTATATACCTTTTTAAATCAGTTTGCTAATATTTTTTTTTTTGAGAATTTTTGCTTCTATGTTCATGAGAGATATTGGCCTATAATTTTCAAATGCTAGCCTCATTGAATGAATTAGAAGTATTTCCTCTGCTTCTACCCTATGAAGGAGATTGTAGAGAATTGGTATCATCTCCCCCTTAAATGTTTGGTAGAATCTACTAGTTTTTAATTATTAGAAGATTTTTCTATCCTATATAATAAAAGCCTAATAACCAAATCGACTGATCAGCAGAACGACCTGTCACTATGATGTGCACTGACCACCAGGGGGCAGATGCTTAATGCAGGAGCTGCCCCCAGCCTGCAGGCCCCAGGCTGGCCAAGGCGGGTGCCAGCAGGGCCCCTCAGTCGCTCCACCGGTCTCCCCACAGATCGGCCCTGATTGCTGGCCAGGCCTAGGGACCCTATCTGTGCACAAATTTCATACACCAAGCCTCTAGTGTATATATATATATACACTATTTATATTATTTCTTCTTGTGTAAATTTTGGTAGATTATGCCTTTCAAGGAATTGGTCCATTTCATCAAGATTATTAAATTTGTGGGAATAGAGTTGTTCATGGTATTCATTTATTATTCTGTTAATGTCCATAGGACTTGTAGTGATGTTCCCTCTTTCATTTCTAATATTAGTAATATGTATCCTCTCTTTTTTCTTAGACTGGCTAGAGGTTTACTGATTTTATTGCTCTTTTCAAAGAACCATCTTTTGGTTTAATTGCTTTTCTCTATTTATTATTTCCTATTTTTAATTTTATTGAATTCTGCTCTACTTCTTATTATTTCTTTTCTTTAGCTTACTTTGGATTTAACTTGTTCTTCTTTTTCTAGATTCCTAAAATGGAAACTTGGATTACTGGTTTGAGATTTTTCTTTTTTTCTAATATATGCATTCAATGCTCTACATTTCCTTCTGAGCACTGCTTTCACAGCATTCAACAAATTTTGATAAATTGTGTTTCTGTTTTTATTTAGTTAAAATATTTTAAATTTCTCTTGAGATTACTCTTTCTCCCATGTATTATTTAGAAATAGTTTTAATCCCCAGATAATTTGGTATTTTCAGTTGTCTTTTTATTATGAGAGTGGACTTCCATTCTTTAAAATTTGTTGAGGTGTGTTTTATGGCCCAGAATGTGGTTTATTTTGGTGAATATTTCATGTGAGATTGAGAAAATCTGTATTCTACTGTCGTTAAACGAAGCAGTCTATAGATGTCAATTATATTCAGTTGATTGATGATGTTGAATTCAAGTAAAGCAGTTACTGACTTTCTGCCTGCTGGATCTGTCCATTTCTGACAGAGGGGTGTCAGAAACACAGCCAGAGCCTCACCAGAGCTCTGCTCTGAGTCCATATATTCTTCTGACTTCTGTTAGACTACACCAACATTCTGGGCAGGTTCCTTCTCAGACCCTGCCCATTCCACTAACTGTTGGGCCGAGCCCCTCTGCCTAGGGACTGGACCTTCTTAGAGGCTGGGTCTTAGACGGAGAAGCCATGAGAAGTTGTGGGTGTATAAGAATGAGTCTTTATTGCAGAAGCCAGTGGCCATACAGCTATTAGACAGGACAGTTCTTCACAGCAACCCCATATAGGCAGCCACACACTGGCTGGTAAATACATGTTTTGCCCACACAGTAGTAGCAGTCTCTGTACCCAGTTATTATCTGAGCAGCCTCACGCTGCCCCCTAGACTCACTACCTCACATAGCAGTGGCACCTGAGTTATCTGGCTCAGCAGCTTCTTCTCTCTCCCCTGCCCAGCACACTAGCTGGTCTCTGTAGCCTCACATACAAACTACCTCAGAGCTTCTCTCTCAGCACAGTGGTTGGTTAATTACATGTATTATATCTACTTAGACAAAGGAGGCTAGTTGCCAACAATGACGTCAATCACTTGGCTATAGGAGGGCAGAGCATACTGTGAGATCGCTGTGGCCTTGCAGCTGTGTAGTCCTTGGATATTTCTGATTAAGATTCCCATGTTTAGAGTGGCCTTGGCCATCCAGAATACTATCATTGAGGCCTCCAAACTCTAATTAGCCTTGACTATCCGGGAACTCGGGCATGGTTCCCACAAGGGGTATTGAAGTCTCCAACTATGATAACGAATCCATCTATTTTTCCTTGCAATTTTATCAGTTTTGTGTCAGGTAGACGGATACTGTTGTTAGGTATCTACACACAGAAGATCTTTTTTTTAAACATATTTTATTAATTTTTTACAGGGAGGAAGGGAGAGGGATAGAGAGTTAGAAACATCGATGAGAGAGAAACATTGATCAGCTGCCTCCTGCACACTCCCTACTGGGGATGTGCCTGCAACCAACGTACATGCCCGTGACTGGAACCGAACCTGGGACCTTTCAGTCCACAAGCCGACACTCTATCCACTGAGCCAAACCAGTTAGGGAACACAGAAGATCTTTATGTCCCTTCAAAGGCATTCTCCAGGGCTGTTAGTTTTGTATCTCCAGCATTTCTATTTGGTTCTTTTGGGGATTTTCATCCTTTGTTCATATTTCTTACATGTTCTTGCATGCTGTCTAGTTTATCCATTAGCATATTAATCATAGTTGTTTTAAATTCCTGGTGTGATAATTCCAATATCCCTGCTGTGTATGGTTCTGATGACTGCTCTCTCTCCTCAAATGGTGTTTTTGGCCTTTGGTATGCCTTGCAATTTTTCTTTACAACTGAACATGATGTAGCAGGTCAAAGGAACTGCTACCAAAAGGACTTAGCAACACTTCCCAGGAAGCGTTCTATAGCGCTATGGTTAGGTCCAGTTTTTTAGTGAACCTCTGCCTCTGGACTGTAAGCTTCACAAGTATTTCTCAGGTTTTTACCCTGCTCTCAGGTGGAAGAGGATGGCTGAATGGTCTGAAATTGGGTATTTCCTTTTTCCAGGTCAGAAGGGCTCTGATAATACCCCAGAAGGTTAGGCTCTGGATAATTAGTTACTCCTGAGGGCAGGCCTTGTTAAAAAGAATAGAGTGCTCTGTAATATTTCAGAATGGCTCCTTTTTCCTCCCCCATGGAGGAGCCCAAAGAAATTTTACTTTAATATTTATTGTGGGAATGTGGTTGATTGAACTTTGTACTTGTTAGGGAAGAGAGGGGACTTCCAAGCACCTTACATGCAGAACCACAATATTGAGTATATTATAGAAAACTCACTTTTATCCATAAGAAAACATCAACAACCAATAGAAAAAAAAAAGCTAAATTTATGAACAGGCATCTCAGAAGAGAAAACTAGCCTCCTCTCCCCCTGCACCCTCCCATGATATTACAGTATGTGAAATGATCATTATTCTCAATGATAATTAGGGAAAAGCAAATGCAAACCATAACAAAATAGAAATTCATTTACATCAGAATAATGGCAATATTAGTTATACTGAAATTCATGCCTTGTGCAAAGTCATTTGTCAGAAACTTCTATGAAGTTGTAGTTGGTTTGAATTGAGGAAGAAGCCACTAGAATGGAATTGGTCAAACAGATTTAGGATTATGCCAATTTACCACAAAGCTACTCCTTGGGTGTAACTATTAGGTGACTAATCTAAGACTAGGCTATTATTATTTTTTCTAAATGTCCAAGTCAAGGAAGTTTGTCATTCCCTGGATGACTCCTATCTTGAAACTATAGAAATATGACAGTCTTTCACCCTGATAGACAAGTTTCATCTTATTTGTTCTTTACATTTCACCCAGCCCATAAAATGAACCAACCAACACTGGATGTAGCACATAAACCTGTGACACGTCGATCACCTTTACAGCTACACAAGAAGGTATTTATTTTTGTTACCATTATCATCATTGCCATCATCGTCACTACCATTGTCCCTGACACCACCGCAACAATCAGGATATAATGTACAGGTAAATAGGATTTTATTTGGGAAATTAGGTCTGTGAAACCTAACAAGTAACAACAAGGTAGCTTCTAACTTTTTGCTAATTGGTTGCTTTCTATAATTCAGATTTTTTTCTGGTCACTGTCAACGAACATGCTATTATTTCTGAGGTCTAAAGGCCTTGTAAAGTCTCTAGGAAAGTTGCAGAAAGTTGGAAAAAAGAATCAGATTGCAGCAAAATTTTGCTTACTTTTTTTTAATAACCACCCATAAGAACACTTTCATTTTTTTTCTCTAGTAATAGAATTGAAATAAATTTTATAATATAAAAATGTTTAAATTTTATAATATAAAAATGTTTAAATTATAGAAATAATTTAAAACTATGAATGCCTTTATAGATTTGTAGAATTATGTACTTTACAATACACATCATGAATTAGTATCTGGCAAATTTCTGGGGGTCCTCAAAACTTTATGAATATTTAAATGCGATTCCTTTCTAGGGTATTCTGTTTTTGTAGAGTTCCAGGAGAAAGTTGGAAGAGGAGGCCATTCAACTCATTTGATCATTAATTTCTCTGTTCCTTATTCAAAACTTTCTCTTTAGTGATTTAAAGTCCTCTATAACAATAAATAAATAAATAAAAGGTTTATCTTTATAAAAATTGGGAAATTTTGCACTGGAATCTTGTGCTAACTCTCTTCACTATATAACAACTTAGGTGCATCTAATTCAAATGGTGTATAACTGAAGGTCTAATAAATGAAAACTAGTTCATTATGCTTTGCAGTCAAACTGATAATGCAATATCAGAATATGGTTATAAGGAAATCTAATCTAGAAAACTATACCTGGTATAAACTGTGGGATAAATTATAGTGAGATTGATGTTTTAAAATTGAATAATGTATTTACTACTACTTATATGAATATTATTATTGTAATTTGATTAAGGTGAATGGTTGATTATGTCAGAATAGCAATGAGCCTTTACTTGAAGTAGATTCATTCCAAAATTGAGGTAATGGTAGTCCAGTTAAGTATATGAAGTTGGTTAAATTCATTGAAGATTAATTTTTAACCTATTCTCTTTATTGAATGAGGGGTTCATACTGTCATACAAATCCCTACATTAAAAAAGAAAAAAAAACTATGGCTAAAATTAATTTGGCAGACAAAAGAGTAAACTGTTCCATGAATGGACATTTTTTGGTATTTAGAACATCATTTTAATGGTTTCTGTTATTATTCAAAATAATAATCAATTCTTAAAGTTCATGGCATCACATTTACTGAAGGAAGGGTTGAATAAATCATAAACTACTGTGATCTTTTAGATATCAAAGACTCTTCTTAATTGTTATGACAGGAAGAAATCCATAATTGGGGGGAGTCATATCGGTACTATAGTCAACAATCTGTTTTCTTTAGAATATCTAAAAGGGCATTCCAGAGCATCTAATAGAGCTTTCATAGGAAAACATTTTGTAAGATGCTATGTAGTGATTATTTTTATAGGAACCATCTCAGCAACTTAAGAATCACCATTTAGGCTACATGTTTGAGTTCCTCAAACTGATATGCGTTTCTAAGAAAGACTAAACTGCCAGTCTACTAGCTAATCCAAAATAAATTCGAGATCTTACTATCACAGTGAACTTCTACTCATTAAAAGAACATATTCTCAGATATTAGTAGGATTAAAACTATTGCTATTAATTACTTTAATTGTATATTTCTTTTAAAGTGTGATTCATTTAGTATAAGAGACTGTGCCAGAATAGCATTTTGCTCCAAGTATGAGATTAAACAATAGAATTTCAGTATGAAAGCTTACATGCAGTGGGGAGTTTCTCTGAAGAGATTATGGTTCTTGTAAACATGAATTAGCAAGTCATCAATATCAGGAAGAGGAAGGATTAAGAATAGAGAACAGAGCAGAGAGGAAATAAGACAGGTGGAGTTACACAGTTGTGGCTTAAGGTAGTGTTTTAAAAAAGTGTAACTCCCCCCCCCCCCCCAAAATCTCCTCTATCTAAAAATCAGTTGGTCCTTTGGGCATTAGAACAAAATGAAAGATGCTCATAGTCATAGGGAATACTTAATTTTCCAAATATTAAATATTTGTAGAAATATTAGAAAACAAAGTTAAAGTAGACATAAAAGAAAAATATCTATCCATGATCTCATAACAGGGATAACTGTAGTTGACATCATGATGTTTCCTTCCACATTTAATTAAAACTTATAAATGGTTATATTATGTATTTGTTTATAAATCTACATACATCCTTATTCATGATGTGGCTATAGTTTAGAAACATACAATCAGACCGAATGCATATATTATAAATCATGTTGTATGAGTTGGAGGAAAGACAGGTAGATTTAGAATGCCTGTTATCTGATTTGAGCCATTTTTCTCCTTTCATAGGTCAGGCATATCATCCCAGAGAAGATCTTGGCCACTATATTTGACAATCCTTGTTTTTCTTGGAGTGGCGGCAATCGTGGGAATAACTATTGGTCTCCTTGTTCATTTTCTGGCAGTCGGTCAGTATTAACTATTTTCAATTTTCACCCTTACTACTAAATCTCCTTTTACTTAGGAATTGTCAAGAAACAACATAAATATTAAATTTCTTTTGGTAAAATTTATTATTTATTAGTATTTTATTTCAACATAATGCTTTTCCATGAAATTTATAAAAACCTTTTGAATTAGATGCCTCTTAGGTCCACTGTATACATTATATCATCAACTATGGGAATATGGCAAGATTGAAATATTCAATATTTGATGCTAATATTCATTGTAAATAAAGGTACTTGTGTAGTAGGCCTGTAGTTGAGTTGTTATGTCTTTCAGTGAATATACCTCAAACTGTAGAGATCCCTACTCTTCTTGGCTCAGTTCTGGTATTGACAGATTAATCTGTCCAGCCGCAAATACTTAAGTTCAGCATACTGAATGCAACAGTGTTAAAGATTCTAGTTATTTGCTGTTCTGTTTTGTGATAAATGTTACAGATTAAAATTATGAAATGGTAGTTAAAAAAGGGTCTTTGGAGTTTATTTTTTGTAATCTAGTCTTTGTTATTAGTGAAAAATATTCCAGAGGGTTAAAGTGATATGCTGGGTGACAGCCAATTTGTGTCATCTTTTATTTAACAAGTTGAACTAGTTTATCTAACTTTACATACTTTACTCTTTTCATAATGACCTTAGATAACTTCTTAGACAGAAACTGGCATTTGCTTTTCATATGTACTGGTTGCCATAAGAAAAAAATAGAGGAAGCTATAAAAAAGGAAACTAATTTTTATTTTAGGTTGAAATATTTCTGACTTCCAGGACAATGAATTATTACAGCTCAGGTCAGCACATTTTTCAAAGTCTATTAGCAGTGTTTGGAGACTATGTGGTGCTTTTTAAGGTTTCTCAAAAGCACAGCTGTTCTCGAAATACGTGAATGGCTTCTCCTTAATCAAAATACGGTACCATTTCTTATTAGTTCCTATTTTTGAAAGTACGTATATGACCTGAAAGAGCTACCTGTAGGCTTGTCATGTTTTAAATTATGGTGGCCTACTATACCAGGTGAAGCAGTTTACATTTGGGGATAGGAAGAAATGGGGAATGTGAGACCCATGACATATGCTAGGCACCAGCCATCAGATGTTATAGGGAAGTGCAAAGGCAGCATGAAGTCCTAAAGGAATGACTTCAAGGACTGGAAAGAAGGCCAATAGTCAATGGGGCATAAGAAAGGGTGAAAGTGAGTATAGATAAGTCAGAAAGTGAAGGGAGATGTTTCTTGTATCACAGGTATTTAGAAAGATTAACTGGGTAATCACTAAGCTAAGAATTTAGATTACACATGAAAAATACATTGCATCGCTAGTGCATTCTCAGGTAAATTGCTATTAGCTGCCAATATTAATGCTTTGAGGAGGATTCTGAGGGACAGTGATATCTATATCTTATGAAGAAAGAAGGGGAATCACTTTATGAATGCTGGGTAGTTGCTATTTCTAGAATAAGTGAATATTAATTTCCCTCCTCTTCTTTTATCCATCCCTATGATTATTTCTAAAATTAGGTTGAATATTATTTTTGACATAAAGATATGGAGGGACTTGAGGTCAATTTCTACTTTAAAATTCTTTGAGTATTTCTCTATTTCACAGGAAAGAATTACCATTACCAAGGGGATTTTCATATTTCTGGAGTCACATACAATGATAGCTGTGAAAATGCAGCCTCACAAGTTAGCAAAGATCTGAGCAAAGATATTGAGACTAAGGTAAGTCGGTGATTTATTTTATTAATTTCATTATAAATTTGATTAAAACAGACATGGTGGCTCTTTTATTTTTTTCTCCTGACAGATGCTTGATGGATTTCAAAATTCTAGCATATACAAAGAATATGTCAACTCTCAGGTCATCAAACTTCTGTAAGTGCCAATTTATTCAGGATATTGTGGAAAGGGATGTAGGTGATATGTAACATTAGCTCTGGTTTTATATAATAATAATGTAAGAGAGAAAAAGAGAGAGAGAAATAGGAGAAAGAAAAAAGGAAGGAAGGAAGAAAGGAAGGAAGGAAAGAAGGAAGGAAGGAAGGAAGGAAGGAAGGGAGGAGGAATTGTCCATAAATTAAGGTATCATTGTATTTAACAAATTTCTGTTCACAGTAGGAACTGTTCTGTACAAATCTGTAATCTTATACCTAAAGAGGAATTACAAGGTTATTTGTGGCAATCAGGTCTAACTGACTTCTATGATAAAAGATAATTATAACTCTATGGAAAACAAGGATTCCAACTTTATTGTTTTGCTATCTATATATGAGCCACCTTTCCTTTTATCCATATCCATCTGGCATGCCTTTCCTAAAATAATCTCCTTTTGGTCTCTTTAGTATTACCATTACAGTAATAACTGTGGAGCAAAGTGAATCATTTAAGAGAGCATTTGTCTAAATATGTCTTTGAGGGTGGAGGAAGTAGTGCAGGGAGGAGGGTAGCATGGAGTATAGGGGATGTAGACAGCACTTGTATTTTGGTAATTGTCAATATCTATTCCAGAGATTTCTGAACTTCCAAAACAAAGCAAACAAAAAAATCCAGATGACCAAATGCCAAACAACCAAACAACTTTCCTACAGGCAAACAAAAACCTTCAAAGCTCTCCCATTGACCATGATTATTTGAAAATATAGTATTGTGTTTTTTTTTTAAATTGTGGTTAACATGGCTTTTGGTTTGAAAGTCTTCCAAATGAATTAATTTCCTTTTCTGATTAATTAAAAGAATGTACTGAAAGTATAAATAATGGAGATTCTCTTCATGCTTTAGAGCTATCTTTCTGAGATTTCTCATGGTACAGATTTCTCATGGGGTAGATGTGTATAAGAAACTATAAAAAGGAGCTTAGTGCTGGCTCTTGAATATATTTTAGAAGCTATCTTTAGTTTGATATTAAGCTCTCACTTATCTCTTAATTTAAATTTAAGTTATTAGAAAACACCTATATGAGAACATGGTTTTTTACTGTGTTATAATAAAATCTCATGTTTATTATTTATTGGCTGGTACTCAGTTTCTCTGATGTGTTTAAAGTACAGGGTGGGGCAAAAATAGGTTCACAGTTGTGAGTAGGTGAAATACAGGGCTTATTATCGTATAATTATTTATTAATTATCATATTATTTTCCATATGAACAACTGTAAACCTACTTTTGTCCAACCCTGTATTCTGATTTTTAGTTTGTGGTTCACATCTTCGTCCATGCACCATACCTCTGAACCCATTAGAATATTTTTTGGGACCCTTGCACTTTAAACAAACTAGGACAATTTCTATGTATTGTTCTCTAATATATGTAAAGAAAATATGATAATTAAAATGTGGGAAGTTCAATGTGTTCACAAAACATCTAAAATATCAAGAAGCAACAACTAGAACGTTTCTGCTGTTTTTAGCCCTTTTCCCAATGGTTCAAGTGTGCAGTTGCAGCTGACATTCAAGTTTCCTCCAGCAAAGAGGGGGATCATGAAGCCTGCAATCAAAGCTGTCTTACTTCAGCTGTTAAAAGACAACATGGCAACCTGGAATGCAGTTCCAGCTTCCATTAAACTTACGGGTATTTCATTTATTTCCATTGCTTTCCATTACCTGGGCTTATGACTACTAAAGAAAAATGGTACGAGGAAAAAAAAAAAGGCAAGCGCTTATGGAATTTGTTTAGAAAAAATATGCTTCCCAAAGTCTGGCACTTATACAATGAATTGGTAGTAGAGGGGTCAGTGCCAGAGAATTTTGTCTGAAGAGTGATTGAAATGAAGTTAAACTGTAGCATGCAACTTTGGAAGGGTTTATTGTCAATGTGTGAAAAGGCAATGAAGGGACCTAATTGAAGCATTATTCCCCCCTACCCTGTACTCTTGTCAGGATCCCTTTACAGGAAACAGATTTAAGATTTTTTTAATCATTCAGTATAAAGACTGTAATGGTAAGAAGGAAGATGGAATAGGAAGTTTTTGTTGCTTCTTGAGGAAGAACGGGAATAATAGTATTAAAGAAAAAAAATTATCTGGAATAATTCCCTGGAAAAAAAGGGAAGAAAATGATAGGAATTTGCCCCAGTACAGAAAGTGAAGTTTGTAAAGACTTCAAGGTCCTGCAAAGGTTTTGAAACTCTCACTTGTATTGTTGGAGGGCCTGTTAGGTGATAAGCATGTGGTTACAGATCTGTTTCTTTGTCTCCACATTTTGGCTGCTTCCCTGTGTTGATAGAGTGGCTTTCTGTGCTAAGTGTCCTATAGGGCCCAGTGGCTCAGCCTCCCCAGTTACCTGAGCTGAGAGCTCTAGGTATACCCCTTTGTGGGCTGTGTGCACAGTCTTGTTGTAGTTAATCCTTGATTGTTGTAGGTATCACTGGGAGGAATTGACCACCAAGCCAATTGTCTGTGAGAATCAGCTGTGTCTGCAGTGGGAGAACTTCTGTGCTGGAGACACCCTTCTGGGCAAGACTTGCTTCAGTGGGGCTTTGGTGCTCACTGAGTCTGCCCCCTGAGTGTGTCCCTTATGGATCTGAGGAGTTGTAATCTGGATGGTCCCACTCTGATCACTGGGTACACTGGCTCTTGGATCTCTAAGGAGGTGCTAATTTAGCCTCTGCCTGAGGTTACCCAGGAGGAGCTATGGAGAGATCTGCAGATTCCTCTTCCTTGTTTGGGGTTTGGAGGTGCCCAGATGAGGCCCAGCTGTGAAGCAATGCAAGCTGCTGTGGGGCCTTGGGCCTTCTTTTGGAAGTTCTGGGTTTCTCTGACCCAGCTACAGTTTGTTAGGTAATTTTAGATCTCAAAGGGCCAGGGCATTCATATGCAAACGCCTCTGCTAGCAGCTTGGGTGGGGCGGGGTTTCAGGGAATCAACAGGGTAGAGCAAACAGCTATGGCTGATCCTCAGTCCTGCCCTAAGAGGCCCCCGTGTCTCAGTGTCCCAGTAATTGCTGCAAGCACCTCTGAGAGAAAGCTGCCCTCAAGTTCTGCCTGCTGCCAGACAGTCCAGTTTCTCCCCATATGAGTCTGGGTCCCCAGAGACTGGCCCAGAACTGGGGTTCAGGGCCGTCAGAAGCTTGTGACTCCCTCCCTATTGAAAAAGACACCGGCGTCCTCGGTTGCCAGCCCTTTCCATGTGCACCTCTGTACCTCTGCACTTTACTTCTGCACCTCCTGAGTCTCAGTGTGCTTTTCTCTTTCCTTCTAGTTGTAGAATTTCCACTCAGCCAGCCTTCCTGTGGTTCTGGATGATGTCCGTTTTGTCTTTTAGTTGTATTTTTGAAGTGGTTGTGCGAGGCAGCAATTTCAGGTGTTTACCTATGCCGCCATCTTGGTTTCTCCCTCTAGTAAAATATAATTTTAATTGGACCTTTTTCTTTATAATATAGATAATTCTGAGTATTTCAGAGTAATAAGAATGATCATAAAGAAAGAAATTTAAAGATAATGCCCAGTCCCTTTTTTAGTAAGAATGTCTGCTTTTTACTGCACTAAATATTTTACAACTGTTATAAAATTGAGAGATTTGTTTTTTATTTCATTTTCCCTTTTCCTATGCCTGGTAGAGATGTGAAGAGATGGTCAAAATATAACAAGTAAGAGTGAGAGGGGCTGATAATACATGAAACATTCTGAGTATTTAAATGTTGGTCATAATTGGGGTAGAAAACTTAGACTTTATGTCCTTAGATCTAAGATAATTGCTCAGTGATATTTTATCAATTTTATGTCTTTTAAATTTCAGAAATCAGCAAGACTGATGCTGAAATGCTTACCAACAAATGTAAGTTTAGAAACTTTATTGTAAATTTAACACATTCACAAACATTTCTCCATTTTTTTTTTCCCTAAAAAGGATCTTGAGGTACATCACATGGAAATACATAGTAGTCTTTTGAAATTATTGGATATATTAGATATACATCTGGAATTTCTTTTTGAACAACACTGGCATATGAATTTTAACTTTGTAAACATTTGCCCAAGAGGATGAAATAAAAACTGATTCCAAAGAGTTGAATTATGAGTTAAGAATATCATTTTGAGTAAGTTAAAATAAGAAAGATTGAAGGAAAAAAGGACAACTTAGGATAATAAGAAAATAAACACGTAGGCTGTATCAAATATATTTATTATTGATGAAAAACAGTTCTGTACCTTTTAAATAAATTATCTTTAGAGTATCATGTTGCCCCCAAGAATTAACCCTGCATTCATGTATTCAATGAATATTTTTGGAGTATCTGTTGTCCATATGGGGACTTATAGGTAGCACTGCATATGCAATGTAAGATGCAGACATTAATGAAACAAAATCTCTACTTTCAAAAAGTTGGAAAGTTTCTTGGAGAAATGAGAATGATAACAAATAGATGCAATAAAAGTCACTGGTTGAAGGATGCTTGAGGCTGGAAAAGAGAATATGTAAAAGTCACCCAAACCAAGATAGAGTGGGTACTGTGCTAACAGCCCATTCCAGGAATGAAACAGCATTAGGAGTTGCTGGACAATCGCTAAAGGATTTTAAGTCATGTTTTAAGATACATATCTTATAAAGCATTATCAAAGATACATGCTTTTGTATAAATAAATCCTTTCTTCAGGTTGTGGGAGACAATTGGTCAATAATATCAGAGCAGGCAACCGAATTGTGAATGGGGGAAATGCCCAGACAGGGGCATGGCCTTGGCAGGCAAGCATGCAGTGGAAGGGCCAGCACAACTGCGGAGCATCTCTGATCAGCAGCAGGTGGCTACTATCTGCAGCTCACTGCTTTACTAAGTAAGTAGAAAGTCTGACTCTACATAGGATTCTGGGTGCTGGCATGTTTTTGGTAGTTTGTGGGGGTTAAACTAAATGTGTGAACATTCATCAAGGCCATATACATTTACAAGTACCTGCAAAATTAAAGGGAAGTAGGGTTATTTAAATTTGATAAAGAAAGAAAAAGTGAATGGAAACAATTCTCATTTCCCAAAGAGCCACTTTGGCCTGACAGTAAGTACTTTACTTACATTATTTTACTTCATCATAACAATAATTCTGCACAAAAGGTATAATTAAACTTATTTAAAGATGAAGAAACTGGGGTTCAGAAATAGTGACATAATTGGCCAAGATCATATAGCTTTTAAATATCAGGAATTGAATGTGAATTCAGGTATGTCTGACTCCAGTTACTAGGTGCTTACTTTTCCCCTTATTTTTGCTCTTCAGAGGTTAACAATCTAGTTAAAGAATTTTAAATATGATATGTTCAGGGTATAAGACCATAGGAGCATAGTAAATGTCTTGTCTATAATATGAGTAAGAGCTATGGAAGTTCGATGAATAAAGACAGCATATCCAACTGAGATATCTATCTATCTATATCTATCTATCCTATCTAATAAAAGAGAAACATGGTAATTAGCATATGACCGCTACCCTTCCCATTGGCTAATCAGGGTGATATGCAAATTAACTGCCAGCCAAGATGGCCACCAGCAGCCAGGCAGCTTGAAACTAACATGAGGCTTGCTTGCTTCAGTGACGGTGGACTCTAACGTTCCCCATCTGCCTTGCCGGCCTCTGAGCTTGCAGTTTGAAACATTCTTACAAATATAGAAGTTAAACAAAACCCCAGAAACCTGCTTTCAGCGAGCCGGGATCTCAGAGCTGGACTTGATACAGAGTTTCAATTATAGAACACAAACAAACCAGATACCTGCTTTCAGCAGCAGAGGCCTCAGAGCTGGAGCCAGAGCTAAAGTTGGCTCAGAATTAACACATTGTATGCGGGAAACGTGCTTACACGTTTTACGTATTTATACGTTCTACCAGTGTAGTAGAGCGCGGGACACATATTAATACGTTTTTTATCGACTAGCGGTAGAATGCGGGTAACGTATAAATACGTAAACTAAAGTTATCGTAATTTTACTGAACGTTGCCATTTGCACAAAAAATTAGCAAAAATGGCCCGCGCCACCTGTTAGCGCGTGATAAAAACTACCCGCAAACAATATGTTAAAAAAAAAAGAAAAAAAAGGACAGGGTGGGAACTTCAGTCACCCGCCAGCCTGAAAACAGCCCTCAGTTCCTCACCCTGACTGGCCAGGCACCCCAGTGGGGACCCCCACCCTGAAGGGTGTGTGACCAGCTGCAAACAGCCATCACCCCCTCATCCAGGCTGGCCAGGCACTCCAGTGGGGACCCCCACCCTGAAGGGTGTGTGACCAGCTGCAAACAGCCATCACCCACTCATCCAGGCTGGCCAGGCCCCCAAGCAGGACCCTCACCCTGATCCAGGACACCCTTCAGGGCAAACCAGCCAGCCGCTACCCATGCACCAGGCCTCTATCCTATACAGTAAAAGGGTAATATGCCTCCCAGCACCGGGATCAGCGGAGCCTCGAGGCCTCCCAGCACTGGGATCAGCGGAGTCGAGAGGCCTCCCGGCACCAGGCACCAGGATCAGCATGACAGGGGGCAGCGCCCAAACCCCCTGATCAGCCCTGCTCTGTGCCTGATAGGGAGGAGCTCCCCAAACCCCTGATTGCCCTGTGGCTCTGTGTGTGACAGGGTGCGGCGCCCCAACCCACTGATCGGCCCTGCTCTGTGTGTGACAGGGTGCAGCGCCCCAACCCCCTTCCCCCCCATGGGCCCTGCTCTGTGTGTGATGGGGTAGAGCCATAACCTCCCCATGGGACCTGCCCTGAGTGTGAGAGTGGCGACGCCCCAACCCCAGCCCGACGGGCCCTGCTCTGTGTGTGACAAGGGGGAGCTCCTCAACCCCATGATCAGCCCTGCTCTGTGCGTGACAGGGGGGAGCTCCCCAACCCCTGGATGGGCCCTGCTCTGTGGGTGATAGAGGGCGGTGCCCCAACCCCCTGATCGGCCCTGCTCTGTGCGTGTCAGGGGGTGGCGCCACAACCTCCCCATCGACCCTGCCTTGAGTTGACAGGGGGGGTGTGCCCCAACCCCCCAATCAGCCCTACCCTGAGCATGACTGAGGGTGGCATCACAACCTCCCAATCCACCCTGCTCTGTGCATGACAGGGTGCGGCGCCCCAACTCCCCAATCGGCCCTGCTCTGAGCCCGACCAGGGGCTGCACCTAGGGATTGGGCCTGCCCTCTGCCACCCGGGAGCAGGCCTAAGCCAGCAGGTTGTTATCTCCCGAGGGGTCCCAGACTGCGAGAGGGCACAGGTTGGGCTGAGGGACACCCCCCCCCCCCCGAGTGCACAAATTTTTGTGCACCGGGCCTCTAATATATATATAAAAGCCTAAGCGACCATTATGACAGAACGACCAGAACGACTGGTCGCTATGGTGTCCACTGACCACCAAGGGGGGCAGATGCTCAACGCAGGAGCTGCCCCCAGCCCGCAGGCTCGATCGCTGATGGGTCTGCTGGCCAACCTCCTGGTCCCTCCCCCGGGCAGCAGGCCAATCAGGGCTAGGCTCTGGGCTGGGACAGGGAACTGGAGGTGGGTGGAAGTGGACATGGACAGTAAGGGAAGGAGGAGGGGAGGCAGAGAACCTGATTGGCCCTGATCACCAGCCAGGCCTAAGGACCCCACCCGTGCATGAATTTCATGCACCAGTCCTCTAGGATATATATAAAGTCCTAAGCAACTGGTCAACTTTTCAACCGGTTGACTGGTTAAATGGCTCACTGGTTGCTATGATGCACACTGACCACCAGGGAGCAGACGCTCAACACAGGAGCTGCCCACTGGTGGTCAGTGCGCTCCCACAGCAGGAGCACCGCTCAGCGAGCTTACTGAGCTGCAGCAGCAGCAGGTACAGCGAGGCTGGGATAAGCGGGAGCAGTGCGGTGCCCCGGCCTGGGCTCGGGCTCCTCCCCAGATACCTACCACTTCACGCACTACTACATTCCTTGGGGAATATCGAACTGCTGGTTTCTGCCTGATCCCCACTTGGCCTGCAGGGATCAGGCTGAAATCAGCAGTTCAACATCCCCTGAGGGGTCCCAAATTGCGAGAGAGTGCAGGCCAGGCTGAGGGACCCCACTGGTGCACGAATCTGTGCACCAAGCCTCTAGTGAATATATAAATTTTGGTCTGGCTCCTACAGATATAAAAAACTGATTAACAAAGGTGGGTGTATGGAAAAGAATAATATGTGTATTTGGCTGAGAAAACAGTCTTCTTCAAATGTGTTGAGATGGAATAACACAAGTCATATTCTGTGGATAGCAAACAAAGAGTAACTTGAAGTAGAGAGGAGTTTGTGAAATAAAGCATTAGAAAATATGCTTAGAAAATTTGTATTGATTGGGGACATCTCTAAATGACAAGATGCTTACTTATTGAACTCTCTTACAAAGCATGTTCATAGGATTTGTCCTTCTGATATGATTTTCAAAAAATACTCCATGGACTATGGACCATGGAGACTTTTCAAAAGTGTAGCTCCTTAAGCATCACACTAAACCTTTTAATATAAACCTCTGGAGGTGGAGCCTGGGCTGAGTCTAAGGAAATGAAGTTTCAAACATAGCTGTGAAGCATGTGGAGTCCCAGTTTTCAGAGTAGTAGAAGGACTGAAGAGTGTCACTGTTACATGAAGGTCTTGAAACCTTACAACAACAACAAAAATACACTAAGTATCTAATCTTTCAAGGGAAACTGAAGTTAGTTAAACAAGATATTAGGTCCTAAATTGAGGAAGAGTTTCAGTGAGAACTTGAGAAATGGATCATAAAATCTAAATTAGAAGCAAAAATGCATTGACTTGGTAAACATAATAGGATGATTGGGTGAGAAAAAGTGGCATTTTTCTTATGTATGCAGATGCCAGAGCCTCCAATGGCTGTAGAAATCAGGCTGTTTGGCAGTGAGTGATTCTGGACCCCATGCACTGAGGCTGCTAGGATGATTCTCACCTAAGTGAAATGTTCAGAACGTGGATGGGCTGAAGTACAAGGAGGAGACATCAGTGACTGTAATTAGGATGATTTGCAGAAGGCTGGCAGCTCTAATAGTCCTTAGCAGTATTTTCATGTGACTACAGCATTTATAACATCTGCAAATCAAAGACATTTAAAAAAATAAAAATTTAAGTGATTTTTATTATATGGGAATTTTTGCTGTATGGGAATCTCACGCCTTACACTGACCACTAGGAACAGTGTTGTGGCACAGAGGTTGAATGTATTTTCGTTGAATTGTGTCTTCCAGGAAAAACAATTCAAAAGATTGGACCGTCAACTTTGGAACTTTATTAAATAAACCATATCTGACAGAGAAAGTCCAAAGCATTATTTCTCATGAAAACTTTAGCGGGCCTGGGGTCCACAATGACATTGCCCTGGTGGAGCTTGCTAAAGAAGTCTCTTTCTCAAAGTATGTCCGTAAAATTTGTCTTCCTGAAGCCAAAATGAAGCTCGCAGACAATGACAGTGTTGTAGTTACAGGATGGGGAACACTTTATATGAATGGTAAGTTTTTCTGTAAAAACATAATAGCTTCGTGGGAATAATTATTTAAATGACCATCCAATCACTCTCTCATGAAATTAACCTATTAGTGTATATACTGAAAAGAAAACCAAGTGCTGGAACCAGCATTTGTCATTATCTTCAATTTCTAAAATATCTCTGGGAATGAGAATTGGGAAAATTGGAATTGTGTGAGGCAGACAGCTATAATAAACATCGGAGAGAGACCAATCTAGCCTGGGACTGGCCTGGCTCCTGGTCACCAAAAGACTCTGTTTTATTTTATAGATATTCTTTATCTCAACAAGCAAAATTAAGATGCCCTTAATATATAGAATTTGTTGCCTTTAGGTCCCCTTCCAAATATCCTTCAAGAGGCCTTGGTGAAGATTATCGATAACAAAGTTTGCAATGCTCCACATGTATTATCTGGCTTAGTGACCGATAACATGCTATGTGCTGGATTTATGTCAGGAAAAACTGATGCCTGTCAGGTACGTCCAGATACGTCATCAAATCATTTTCTCCCAAAGTACTAATTAAGTGGCAGTTTTTATTATCACAAAATGTTTTTCTGGGTTAATGATTTCTACAATGTACCTTCTTATTTCAATCCATAAAATGAGTATTGATTGCCCCCATTTATATACCAGCCACCAGCCTAGATGTTGGGGATGCAGTGGTGAACACAATCCCTGCCCTCATGGAGTTTTCAGCCTAAGAATCCACACAGGTGGTAATACCTACAAGGCAATAAAATAGATTTGGCCCTATTTCCAGGGCAATCTGCAGATCTACAATGCTGCTTCTTCCTTATCCAGAGATGCAGCAGGAGATCTAGCATGTGCACACAGCACCTATTCCTCACAGGCTTCAGGGAGCAGCTGTGTCGCTTTCTCTAGAGTCAAGGCTGGACTCATTATAAAGACAATTTCTAGTCTGTCCAATCCAGCATTTGGCAGCTGTAGACAATAGATTCTGGTTTGGAGTTTCCCTGGGTTTTGTTTATTTTTATTTTATTTTCCATCACTATTTATCTCTTGTATGCCCTTCTCCACTCCCACCCCCTCCCAATCACCACACTATTGAAAAGCCCAAGAGTTCCAGAGTTTCTAAGCCTAAAAAGGGAGGATTGTTTTTAATGCTAGGGGACTATTGATAACTCCAGAAAAGAGGTAAAAGGAAATTCTTGTACAGGATAAGAAATATTCTCCCCTCTCCCCCCTTTTTTTCTAGAATGATTCTGGTGGACCACTAGTTTACCCTGACTCTAGAAATATCTGGCACCTTGTTGGAATAGTAAGCTGGGGTGATGGATGTGCTAAAAAGAACAAGCCAGGTGTCTATACTCGAGTGACTGCTTATCGTGATTGGATTACCTCCAAGACTGGGCTCTGAAAGAAAAGTAACTTTGGAATGGAACATAAAGACCACTGCTGGGTTTCTTATCTGTTGCTTCAAAATCTTTTTCTTTTGACTGTTGGTATACCAGTAATTTTCTTATATATAAATACATAGAGGTCTTTATCAATATTTTATTATACCTAAACACTATCCATTTATTTCCTCTATTAACTAACAGAGAAAACACTAAGAAAAAATAGATGTTCAGAATATTTTTAATTGCCTTGTTCTGTTCTATCCTACCATTATATTCAGAACTGACCTTAACTTATTTTTCAGAATTAAAACAACAACAACACAACTTTTAGTATGAGAACACAAATGCTATATCTACCAAATAAATTATTTTTCATTCTATAAATTATAATTACATTTTGTTAAAGTGGAATATATAAGACATAATGTACATTCATTTTTTGTTTATATGTGAGATAATTTGTGTGCCTCATAAAATCATGCAATCTTTGTGTGGAGAAGGGTCTCAGAGGTTCAACTAGAGCAAGTCTCTCAATGTATAGATTGAGAAACTAAAGACTAAAGAGGAAAAATTATTTACTTAAAGTCAATCTTCAGCCTCGCTGATAAGTTACAACACTCACATGAAATTTCCTTCATAGAGTTTAGAACCAAAATTAATTAGGAATTTTTAAAAAATTGTAAGTTGCAATTATTTAAATAACATTTTCTGCTTGTCCTTCTTTTGACATTTGTTTGCCTTCACTTGCAGCAAAAATAATGTGAGGTTTTCAAGGGCAGGGAACTATGTGGAATCAATTCAGTAGCTCCAATCTCTGGAAATAATTTCCTAATATAAAAAGAAGTAGCCCAAGATTTTAAAAGTAACTAAAGTAGCCCAACTGGCATGGCTCAGTGGTTGAGCATTGAGCTATGAACCAGGAGGTCACAGTTCGATTCCCAGTCATGGTACATGCCTAGATTGTGGGCTTGATCCCCAGTGTGGGGCATGCAGAAGGCAGCCGATCAATGATCAATGATTCTCTCTCATCATTGATGTTTCTGTCTTTCTCTCCCTTTCCCTTCCTCTCTAAAATCAATAAAAATATATTTTAAAAAAGTAGCTAAAATAAAGTAAAACTCGTTCTTCCCCCAATTGTTTGTAATATTACTTTTTTATTATAAGGTATGACCAAATGACATACATAATGTCAAACCAATCCACAACAGGTGTGACAAGAAGTGTTTTTTCTCTCTTGATTCCTTTCTCAGGTGGGGCACACATATTTATCGAGCACCTAGTGTGTTCCAGGAACTGTCAAATATAGACACAGTATCTTCTCTCAAGGAGGCTGCATTTAGTGGATAAAGATAGTAAATATATATAAAATAATTTTGGATTGTGATAAACATTATGAAGGAAATAAAAAATAATATGATAGAAAATTGTGGGGCAGATTTAGAATACTTGGGGTTGTGCTATCTAAATTACTCCTCTCTCTAAGAGAGGAGCATTTGAGCTGGAACTAAATGATGAATAGGCAAAACATACAAAACATCTGAGCAAAGAGAAATTCAAAGGAAACTAGTATAAAGTCCTTGAGACGGAAATAGGAGAGGTGGATGTATGGGCAGAAATGATTTTTCTGTTATCAGCTATTTCATCTCAATCTCTTTTGCTGGATCTTCTACATCTTCCCAAACTATAAATGTTGGATTGTCCCAGGGCTCAGTCTTCAGATTTCTTCTTCTCTACTTGCACTCCTACCCTAGATGCTCTTATCCAGCCCAATACTTTCAATACCAACTATTTGCTGACAACTCCCAAATGTTTTAACTCTAGTTCTGGCTTCTCCTGGAACCTATTAGCATATAGTTAAAATTTCTACTTGGAGGTCTAATAGGCAGTTTACGTTAGTATGCCAAAACAGAATTCTTCTTTTTTCATCAGTCTTCCACATCTTAGAACATTAGTCCTGGAGTCATTCTGGGTATCAATATTTGAGATATTATTCTTTCTTACTAGAGGCCCGGTGCATGAAAATTCATGCACTGGAGGGAGGGGGTTGCTCAGCCCAGCCTGCCCCCTTTCACAGTCCAGGAACCCTCAGGGGAGGGAGGTGACCCAGTGAACAGGGGAAGGCAACGCACCCATCACACCTCTGCTGCTGCCACTGCTGGCAGCACAAACCTTGGCTGGCCCTGGTTACTTGAGCCTCGGGTGGCCCTGGGCGGCTGAGGGGCTGAGGGCTGGTCCGGCTGTGGTTATGGGTGCCGCCATCTTTGTGACAGGGTGACAGTCAATTTACATATTCCCTCTTTATTAGATAGGATTTTCATTATTAGAATTTGTATAGGGTTTACAACTGGACTGGGAAAGCTCTATCCTTACATCTGGAAATTATTGGACTTTGACTCTTGGCCAAAATGAGACCATTAGGATTAATGTGAGGTTTAAATTCTGAACCTTTCATGGCAGCCCCTGGGCCAGCTTGTTTACTGATCGAAGATCCTGCTGGAAATGTCTGCCTTGATTTCTTTTGGAGTTAACAGATTTTGGTGGTTCAATCTGGAGACAAAATGTGTATGTGTCTGATTAAGGACTATGGGAAACTTGAACCTGTATACGTCTTGGCCTCCCAATGCTTGCCTGTACTCTCTCTTGATATACTGCATTCTTTGCCTTTAAATAAAGCTCTATGTAAGTACTAGTATTTCCTATGGAATTTTATCAGTCCTTTCAAATATCCAGACTTGTGAAATCTTTTCAAATTTAATATTTAAAAAATGCAGCAGTGGTGTGCTGAATAAAGTTGGCCTGCACCATTTGTATGAGCTGTATATGAAAACTTTAGGGATTGTGTTAACCAGTTGTGAAACACACCATAGCTTAAAATCAAGAATACTAAATATCCCAAACTCATCATATTTTAATAATTTTACTACATATTACTAGTGTTTATGGTCTTGAGATTATTTACATCTATTATATCTGTATAGTAAAGATACATATAATAGAGTGCTACTGCTCACGTTTTCCCAAATCCATGCTTGGCAATATCATGTGTGTATCTTGAATTGGTTATTGTGTATTTACACCATGGAAATTTGGTGAATGCTACTACCTCCTCTGGGAGCAGGATGTTAAATACTTACAGCATACCACTGAATTTAAGTATTTCTCATTTATGCTTTTAAAATAAATCTTCATCAAATGACGCACTGGAGCACAATTTTTATTCCATTATATTACAAACTAGCTTTTGGTCATCATGCCAGATTCTTTTTGTTAAATGCCTAAAGTACTGCCTGCTAGTGACTGAGGTAAGAAGATTTTTACTTGTTTTCATAATTTCAATGCAAGCAAAAGTTTCAGAAGAAGTTCTTTTTGAAACATTTTTCATGATGTGTCAAGTGCATTTCTAATTTGCAGTTTACAGTAGTTAATTAAAGGATTCTAGAAAAAGCGATTATGTTATTTTAATATGTTGTATTCTATATTTTGTTTAATTCTGAAAATAAAATAATTATATCATGCTTCTTTTCATTGTTTCCTAAAAAATTAAATTATCTTCATTTAAAATTTGTCACAGTTCCAAGAGCTCTTCTTTTGCCTCTGTGACTTTATAAACTTTCTCTTATAATTAATCAGTCAATCAATCAATCAAGATGTAGTTTGTCACAATTGACATTCATGATTGAATAAATAAAATTTTATTTTTACTAAGTATAGGGGTACAAATGACACACGAATTCCATTAAATAACTATCTATAGTCTTATGAGCTTACATTAATACTTTTTAAAGTCAGGTTTTTCTCACTTACAAAAAATAAATCAACAATGGAAAAATCACTAGCCAGGGTAATGAGAAATTGTCTCCACATTTTCTTTCCCAGTCATTTGATAAAAGATAAAGGATTAGAGGAATTTATCTAAGCCATTATCAGAGCAGGGATGAGGTAGTAATAATCAGGGAGACTTAGTCTGTCAGCACCTCTATCTTTTGCTTAAAATCCTATTCCATTCCTGGTCTCAACACTCATTGAGGACAAACCAGAATTCTTTATTATGACTTGCTGGGGCTCCATATTGTACCAGGCCTACACCTGTCATTTCACTTCCCACAAGATATAAAAATGATCTGTTAATACATCTGAATATCTTACTAGACACTGATCTTCTCAAGGTCCCCTTTCCATCTATGAGTTCCTGGACCAGTGGCTACTTCAAAGGAGGTTATCATTGTGTTCAACTGAATAAAACTGAAATGTACTATCAAGATCTTGCTGCTACACATACGTCTCTTTTATCTCCCATGATGCCCTTGCATCTAACCTGTGACCCAATCACACTATTGAGATTTCTGAAACATGCTATATTGGGCCTTTCCAAATAGTGTACTCCTTGTCTAGAATGTCCTTCAATTACTTTTTTTTCCTGGTATACCCTTATCATTTTTTAAAAATTAGCTCACACCTTTGTGAAACTTTATCTAATGTGTTCTCATGGATATTATGCTTATTGTCATTAAGTCATCATCTCATCATGAAAGGTTATATAAAGCCAACAAATACAATTTATTTTTAGTCAATATTAACTTGGCCCTAACTCCCTGAGAAACTCTATTTTATTGCCAATTCCAACTTATTTTTTATTCAGATCCACATCAAGGATAAGCTTATATGTCATAAGTATATCTAAATTTTTAAAATTGTGTAACCAATATCAATACATTATCTTAGTAAAAAAAATGAACCCATGATAAATCAAACTAAACTTATTTTTAATAATCATTTTCATTTCTGGTCTCTTTCCTTCCCCTCCGGGATAATCACTGTTTTGTGAATTCTTCCATATCTTTTCATATATTTATTTATCTTTTCATTTACAGCACATTAATTTAGTACATATATCAGTACCCATTAAAGATGTAAAGTATTATTTACTATTTTTTTAAGTATTAATGGTATATTGAATTACCATTCTGCATCCCATATTTTTACTCAGTTTTTCTTAAAATATTTCTATATAGGTCAA